CGTTCTTATGATTCAAAGCTTTTTTATCATTTTCTTCAATCAATTTCCATATTCGGCCTCGCTGTTAAGCGAGTCATTTCTTAAAGTTTGAAGATTTGGGGGGTATTTTTTTCAATTAATTTTCATAAAATAAATAATAATTGAGTGAGTGTTTTACGTACATTAAGAATATTATCCTATATATCTCAGAAATACATCGCCCTTTATCACATATGTGAAGTGAGTCCTTATCTTATGCTTGAAAGATTTTGGCGTATTTATTTGATATATTTTTTACAAAACACTAATATTTGAGTGATGCTATTATATAAATTAAGAATATGATCTTATATATCCCAGAAACAGGGAAAATCATCGGCCTATATTACAGATATATGTGAAATATGAATATGCGATGAATTTCCCCTTTTCTGAATTTATGTAATAAAATCACTAAGATATGGAAATTAAAGATACATTATGTAAGATTTAGATAAAGAACTGACCGTTCTTGCTATAATAGTTCAAAAATAGATAATGCAAAATGAATATACTGAAATTTTTATTCAAATTACTTTATTCTGAGCGAAGATGTTAGTCTGTGAAGGTTTGACAAGATGTGTGCACTGATTGTAACCACCGTCCTGGTTGTTTTAGGCCTATCCTCGCTTCACCACTTTAAGATTTAATCATTAAATGGCCGAACCGTTCTAAACTATTATATGTTAAGCCAACCTGTTGTATGGAGACCTATTGTATGCCAGTTTGATTTGGGCAAAAAAGGTGCCGTGTGAACCCATTTGCATACTGGCTTGATTTCGTGTTTTATATAAAAAGTTACGATGCAAAAGACAAGTTGAAGGGGACAATTCATGGTGCGAGTGTCAAATGAGAAGATGTCAGCGTTGAATGACATAAGGTAGATATCAAATATGCAGTGTGTAAGCGTAAATGTATTAAGTTTTATTGAATTGGTTATATCACAAAATGAATTATACGTAGAACAAATGTAATTTGTAAAAAGTCAAGAAGTCAATTTACGCGCTGTGGTGATGTAATAGGTAGGTAGATATAACAATATGATAGGGGGGACCTAGAACAAACTGCAACAGAAATCATTTCTTTGGGAACTGTTCAGGTATGGTCTCTAGTACTCCCATAACAAAAGCGGCCATTATCGGTCTTGGGGAAATTTACATAAATAACTTAATTCCAAGATGGTCGCCAGTGGACTAGAAAATCGACGAAATCTCCGAAACGGTTGGCTTTAGTGCAACTAAATGTATTACCGACCTATAGGAAACCGATACTCCCGAGTTCAAAATTGCCGACATTTTTTTCCTACGACCTTATCGTAAACAAAGCCCTATATAAGGAAAGTTACGACAACTCATTTCCAGGCGCCATTATGGGTCCCAACTATGACGCTACAAAAACCATGGCGTCATACAGCTTTACTTATCATTACAAAACGTTTTATTTACTTCATGCAGCATTATATAGGTGGGGAAAGATATAACGTTTTACCTTAAACAAATTGCACCAATGCAGTTTGGTTCAATGATAAATATGTCAGACAAAATTATACTCAAAATCGGTCGAATTTTGCCAAGGTAAAATGACGTAATCAACATAATTCAATATGGCGGTCTTCAGGAATTTTCGGAGAGCGACATCTCGTAATCAATGTGTTTCAGTGGTGGAAGAATAAATAATTTTTTAAATTCCTCAAACACAGAAAGATTATGCAAGCCAAATGTGCCGAAAAGTCGAATTTGACAAATATCAATTAAAAAAATGTATTTTTCATATGGTGCCGAGCAGTTGTTTCAAAGTGGCTGCCAAATTTGGTAATATAATGCAATTTAAAAAACCCAACATAAATATGGTAATAAAAGGGCAGCGATAATTTCGTAAGATATGACTTTTGCTATGACTTTTATATAGTTTTCGATGTCCGAATTAAAAGATAAATTTCTAAAATCCAAAATGGCAGCAACACAAATCGGCAGATGTTAATTTAATCGTCATTTTTCCTTGTTGGATATTACTTGTAACATGTCATTTACACGGTTCTCGATGTCGCCGGGTTCAATACTGATCTCAAAAATGACTCCATGATGGCAGAAATTCAAAATGGTCGGCAAAGTGTTTTCCAAATTTGCGGAATTTGGTTATATATCTTATATATGTGTTTTGGAGTTGTTGGTACAACTCTGATCTCAAAAATAAATTTCGAGAATTCTTGATGGTAGAAATTCAAAATGGTCGGCAAAATGAAATCTAAATTAGGGCTATTTTAATTAACCGTCATTTTCTTCCGTTGGATATGTCTTATATTTGGATTTGGTGGTTTTAGGGTTACTGAATTCATTCTCCAAACCATGATGTATCCTGTAGTTCGTATTGAGTCTTTAAACTATGATGTACCCTGTAGTTCGGATAGAGTCGCTAAACCATGGTGTAAACTGTAGTTCGGATAGAGTCGCTCTAAACAACCATGTACCCTATAGTTCAGATGTACTCTGTAGTTAAGATAGAGTTTCTAAACCATGTTTATACTGTAGTTCGTATGCACTATAGTTTTGTAAATAGCAGGTCGATTATCACATAAATATGAATTGTGCGATATGTTAATCCCAAAATGACATAGTTTTTCTTAAATGATATATTGTTAACACGCTTTAAATATCTGGATGTAATAGAAAATTCTAGATACATTAAAATATTGGCAACAGGAGGGGTTTCTTGCTATGACTTGTTTGGGGTATAGGACGGGATTTATTGTTTTAATTGTAATCACAATGTTACACACTAAATTATACCCCTCCCGCCCCCCACTGAGTATTGTAATTAAAATATGTAATGATATCTTAGTTTATATCATGTCTTTGAATCTACCTTGGAGGTATGTGCAACCGTATGACGCCTTAAATTTTTTAATATGATTATTCTTACAAAGATCCAATTATAGTCTTTAATTACACGCTGTTAACCAGCCATTGAAGTTTTAATGACAACAAATCATATAGTTTATTCAGTTCGACGTAAGATTTAAAATAAGTATATACAGTTGGTTTAACTTGAATGTAGATCTGTTAATCTATGTCGCATATATATCACATTTCAGTTGAATCATATATCATTTGTTGCGTATGTTCATGTCGTCTTACGTATTTGTCAACATCAAAGTGAGCTTGTTATATTGTTCCATTAGCTTATTCAAATTTGTTGAGATGAACTTAGTACTAAAATGGCATTTTTCCGATAAGACCGGCAATAATTTACTATGTCTTTTAAATGGATGTCGATGTCTTTGAATTAAAGGTCACCGCTGATTTTAAATGTTTTATCCATTAGTCAATTTAAAGAAATTTCGATTCCCGAAATATTGATGATACAATTAATGATCGATGACCGAAAACTGTCACACAATCCGGAATATCACCAGACCGGCTAGAAGGTAAATGGCATTTTTCCGATAAGACCGGCAATAATTTACTATGTCTTTTAAATGGATGTCGATGTCTTTGAATTAAAGGTCACCGCTGATTTTAAATGTTTTATCCATTAGTCAATTTAAAGAAATTTCGATTCCCGAAATATTGATGATACAATTAATGATCGATGACCGAAAACTGTCACACAATCCGGAATATCACCAGACCGGCTAGAAGGTAAATGGGTTTTTCCCACCTCAAAATATTATTCTTAGACTCAAGTTAAGAATTTACTCAAAATTGTTCACCTTATTTTAACTAATATATAGCCCTTTATAAAACTTTTGTTGTTTTAATGTATCAAATACATCAATAAGAAACTATGTGCAAAGTTTTGTGTTTCTGCATCAAAGATATTTTTCATAAACAGTGATTGAAAGTTGAGCAAATTCTCAACATAAGTCTGAGAATGCTTTGTGAACTAGGGGCCAGATTTTTAAAAGCGTATTCAAGTTAACTATCTTTAATAGCGCTTTTATCTGGTGTATCTTTTATTTTGATTTTTCTTATGAATTCAATTAGGTTATATGACAATTGTGTGCGCTTTTGTTTTTCGTCTCATCCGAAGATTTACGTTGTCCCTTGCCAGGTCTTCTGCCCTGCACCACTGACAAGGGGTACCACGCCGTAAAATCCCGATGAACTTTCTTGGCCAACGCAGGGATCAAACACTGACCCCCCGGGTAATCAAGCCAGCGTCTTACTCACTGAGCCACCTTGTCTCCCAGCTATAGATGAACGATGATGTACAGTTTCAGTTTGGATGAAGATGTGTTCTTTTATAGAAATTGTACAGCGGTTCGTGGTTTCAATACAATTTGATAATGAGAACGACGTAATGCCATCAAAATGACGTTACGACGTCATAATAAGGTCGTAGGTAAAAAATGTTGGCATTTTTGAACTCGCGAGTATCGATTTCCTATAGGTCGTTAATACATTTATTTACACTATAGTCAGCCGATTCGGAGATTTCGGCGATTTTCTTATCCACTAGCGGCCATCTTGGATTTATGTTAATTATGCAAATTTCCTCAAGACCGATAATGGCCGCTTTTGTTATGGAAGTACTAGAGACCACACCTGAACAGTTCCCAAAGAAATGATTGCTGTTGCAATTTGTTCTAGGTGCATTGTTATCTACACCCGCCTATAATAGAGCTAATTCTTTTTGTACATAACAAAAAAACTTTGTATTTGTCAGTTATGCAAGTTTTTTGACTTGTTACAATTTACACGTTACACTCAGTATTAAGCAGTATTGGAGATGTAAAAGCACTAACAGTACACCATAACATCGATTTTTGACTCAAATCCCCCGCCATTAAAATCTTCTCCATACAGCGACGTTGCATGGCGTGTGTGGTTCGCTGTAAATAAAGTAGTTATGGCATCCGTGGGTTGTTGGAGATATTCATGGGTCGGTAAAAATCCAGCGAAAAATCATGACTAAAATCATGTTTTACCTACATTATGTCTCACGTGAACTTCCAATCAAACCAGGATTAATAGAAACATAAGAATAATAGAAATGTTTAATTGAATGAATCAACAAATGAAATATTGAAAGAATGAAATACAAACAATTCACAACTTTATCATCATTATAATATGTTAAAATGGATAATTAACGGAAAGATAAATTCTTAGTAATCTAACGGCGATGTTAAGTTACAAAATGTGATATGAATAGTTTTGGATTTAATATCAAGCAAGTTCGACATTGAATCTATATCACAAAAAAATTGGACATCCTTCCATATAAATTGAAAATGTAAATTATGACTAATAATCTTTAACGATTCCATATCAACTGCTAAAGTCTATAGTTATCTGAATATTTAACTCCTAAATAATGTTCAGTTCCTTCCCAGTTTATTATTCGTTTATACTGTATAGCTGATTGCCGAATTTTTCTTAATATAAAGCGTAAACATTATCACAAATTTTTTCAGAGTATGTGTGAACAAATGAATTTAAATGGATTTAATAGCAATTGTAAGGTATTAATCAATTTTCCTATAATGTCTTTCTTAGAAACACAAACCAAACAATACGAAGGTGGGTTATCTTTCAAACACGTGACTCTTCATGGTATCGACAAGGGAATTTTTCGGGAAGTTGTTGGGGTCTCCATTTTAGCGTAGGTTTAATACTTTGCCTCAACCTCTGAAAACAACAAACCCAGTTTAATTTGAGCGTCTCTGGTTCACATAAAGTACACAACATTTATACAATATCCGGATTAATTTCGGTTTAATTCGATTTATGATCTTAAACCACCAAATTAATTGTTAGTAAATTGACAAGAATTGATTCCACCCAATGTTAATTTGGATTCAGCTTCCATTCAGCCGATCTGAAGTAAAACCACTTCTTTTGAAACGACTGTAAATTAAAAGCTCAAAATAGGCGCATAACACTATACATAAATTGAATTCTGATCATACCAGTGGAAAGCCATTCATATTATATTTAAGCAATCAAGGTTAAAGTCAAAATTTAGCCTCCGTAATTGTTTAAGTTGACGGAATTTGTCTGTGTCTCTTTCGAACTAGTAGAAATACCAAATGATATATGGAACTAAACATAAACATACCTCTTTTATGGAACCTTTTCCATTATAGATGGCCTTGATCATGAAAATAGGCACTGGCAGAAAACAAACTATAGTGAAACACCAACCAATGGCCGAAGCATATGATGGATATTGATATTTTCCATACGTTGGTGTTTTAAATGCTACACATGAAGAAATTAAAACGGCCTAAACAAGTAGAAGAAAAATAAAATTAATTATAACCATCAAGTTTTTTTAATCAACAATACTGTATTTCAATCGAAATGGCATTTGGGAACTGGTTAGGCCTCTGTTGATCCATCTACACTATTGATATACATATACAATATAGATAAACGCATAGAAAAACATAACCTTTATATATAAATAAGTATTTGAAACAAAAAACAAATATTTATCTACCGTAAACACAGAAGTATTTGTGCGTTATCTACTTTAACACACACATATATATATATATATATATATATATATATATATATATATATATATATATATATATATAATATATATATATATATATTATATATATATATATCATAAGTTGTATTAATTGGACATACGAATTACTTTTACTCCACGGAGATACTTACAACTAATATGCCAGGTGTAATAAATTTCCAGAGTATCTTAAAGATTACTGGTGGTTTGCGTCCAATCATCATCTCAATATCTTCACCAAACTTATCAGTACCTTATTAGTATAGAAAACAAACGCAGGGATATTATATGGTCCATTCTAAACTAAATATGTAAAGCAAAAACGAGCCCCACCACAACCAATAACAAATATCATAACAAGACCTAGTTTTGTTTTCCACTGAAATATTGTTGCTGTAAGTAATTTTTCAGGAATACTGCAGTTTATAATTAGAAGTTATACTAAGTTGGCGATACTATGTATTTACATTAAAGCTCCGTTCACACTGCATTCAATGCTAATTCCAGAATTGCGTGAATGTCTAGTCACGATCTGGACTCATCATACCTTTGCATTTTTACACGCCCACATTGAAATGTGGTTGTATATGTTCGTCGGCTAAATTTAATATCCCATTGACAGGGGGGGTCTATCGATTTTCAATGATTTACGATAATTACTGCCACAGTTAGGCCCTTGATATTAAATGTTAGTATAGGGCAGAACTCTATATGCACCACTCCGTGTCATTGAATATATTTCGACCAAAGGTGCCAGATTTGTTATTTTCAGCTTATTCCGACAATGGTCGGCCGTTCGCTGATACCCCTGGCTGCAGGAGATCAGTCCGTCTTCTGTATACTGACTGATTGCTATGCGAGGCCTGCAGCAGCATCTCTGCGTCGTCATCTCTCCAAAGTTGGAGAAGCAGAAGCCTCTCAGCCATATTCCAAACCGTACCTCGGTCGTTTGCCACAAACACCAGTTTCATAAACACACGATTTCCCTCCAAGCGATAAGACGGAAGTAGAGGTGAACAAAGTAGAAGCAAAGCTATTCGGTTCCGGTAAACCCGTTGATCAGAATCAAGCGTGCCAAACTCAAATCGGAATAGTTGTTCCAGATTGAATTCGGAAAAATAATCGGACTCGTTATTTCAGATTCATGTCTTTTTTTTTTAGCGAATTGAGTGTGACGACTAAATCCGGAATTCAATTCAGATTAAACCCCCTGTGTGAACGCACCTTCAGTGTGTAATGTATGTGTAAAATAGAGGGCGTACATACCATAAATCCAACCAAATACAACACATTCTATAATACCGAAACAGAACATACTATATGCTCCAACATACCAATCGAATATTTGGAATATGTACATCCCAGCCTGAAATTCAAACCAATACTATAGAAAATATAGAAAACTAAATATTACTAGCTATATGATCTATGTGACAAGTGGTATCTAGTGTCCTGTATTAAAGGACAATATTGGTGCCAGTCATTATCACATATGTGATAGAGCTGGTTAAACACATTCCAAATATAATTTTAACACAGAGATCATTGCTACGATAGCTGAGTAATACGGGTTTCCTGAATCGGAAGTGACGAACGCCAAAGGAAAACACGAGTAATCCCTCTATATAACTGACTGATGTGACGAGTGATAACAAATACACGGCCGAATTTCTGCTCACATAATTCCTTCCAAGACCAAAAGTTGCTATATGGGACTGTAAGAGGATACCTGACAATTCAATAAAGTAATTGAATGTCATTAGATAAGAGAGCACGAGAAAAATAGAAATAGTCCGTACATTCCCTTGTTTATATTCATTCTATACCTTATAAAAACATGGTAATGCACGGAATTTTCTGTTTTTCTTTCGTGTTCTCTTATGTAGTTGCAGTCAATTCTTTTTATGAATTGTCAGATATCCTCTCACAGTCTCACACAACAACTTTTGGTCTTCGAAGGAATTATTAGTGAGCAGAAATTCGGCCGTGTATTTGTTATCACTCGTCACATTAGTCAGTTATATAGAGGTATGACTCGTGTTTTCCTTTGGCGTTCGTCACTTCCGATTCAGGAAACCTGTATTACTCAGCTATCGTAGCAATGATCTCTGTGTTAAAATTATATTTGGAATGTGTTTAACCAGCTCTATCACATATGTGATAATGAGTGGCACCAATATTGTCCTTTAATATAGTAATAAAATATAGCTAACAAAGGTAAAGACAAAGATTAATTTTAGAGAGGGAGAGAAATGGGGTTTAACGTCCACTCAACACAAACTAGGTCATTTCGGGACTAGATTAATTTTAGAGAATGTGCTTATTTAATACCAACCTGTGTACAAAACGGAAGTCCGACCAAAAACAGAATAGAACACAAGATTACAGTGCATAATGGACGTCTTGCAGACAACTGTGCAGGGAACGAATCAATGATTACGGATATTACTAATTCTAGAAAACAAAACTGAAATGATAAAAAAACATACCAAATCAGATCGGTGTAATTAACATTTAAGATAAAAGTAATTAATGCATTAACTTAAACGAGCCATAATTAAAGTATTAATTAAACTATTAAATAACTAATATCATTCCAGAAAATAAGCCATACCTCACTATCGAGACCCACAGATAAAAGCATCAGAAAAAACAAAAAACACCAAAGTTGGGGCACAGGCAACATTGACAAGGCTTGGGGATAAACGACATATACAAGTCCAGGTCCTAGAAAATAACGAAATAACATACTGTAATAAAATGTTTGCTAGCCACGGATGGTCACTATGTCTTCAGTGACGCCAAATATTATAAACGTTGATAAAGACAATAGTTCGATTTTACTGGATATGATCGTGTCCACCAACTATTTTCCGTGTGGCTGGTGCAATTAATTATTCAAAAGGGACATTCTTATAGGATGGTAAGATCGCATCTCACTATAGCTGTGGGAAAAAAATCAGGCCAGTAAATCATAGTCGAATCCACCAAAGAACGCAAGTGGTGTTGAATTGGAGATGACTAACATTGTCTTCGTTCAGGTATCAAACGGCATGCAAATGATTGAAACCCACAACTGGTGGGTGACTATCTGGATAAGAAACCAATGGTTTCTGCTCTACCCACGGGAGGAAACCGGAGTACCCGGTGTAAACCCAGGAGGTTGAGAAAGCAGCGCACCTATCACCAAGCCACATACGCTCACAGCAGGGATCGAAACCACACCCACGAGCCAGAGGTGACCGATCAGCTAGATGTCTAAGCGTGACACTCTAGACCACTAGGCCATCCCAACCTCCTTAGTAATGTGAGTCAAATTGCCAAGTATAAGTTTACAAATAATAAACATAACAGAATGAAACATTTCAGACAAAGAACGAATAGTAATAATAATAACAAAAGTCAAAAATATAGATATTATACATATTTGAAATCAGCGAAACATACTACAATTAAATATAGATGAATTAGAAATATATACATTATTTACATAAATCATTCTGTAAATGGACATGAATATGATTATCAACCCTTATAAAAACGAAGGGGAAACGACCGGTTTGTAAACTGTTTTTTATTGGTTCGTAGACTTAAGCCACAATTAAGGATAGGGCATATAATTTGAAATCGTGGAAACCCTATGGATTAACCCAGGGGATAGGGGAGTAGAATGAAACGAGAACACTGGGGATACCGAGGATGACGATTAATTTGTAAAAAATGTGACCTTCAATGAGGAGAATAATTTTTATGCCTCAAATGAGGTTTTACAAACCCCATGTCAAAAACGGTTCACAAATGGGCTACAAAAATGTATATTACACTTGGCGTATGTATGAAGCCCATATGTTAATAATCAACACTATATGATTAAAAACAGTGAACAGATGTTGTATTGGAGTGGAGTAGTCAGCAGTATTAGTAATACATTATAAATAATATGCAAGAAAGAACTTATTAGTTGGAAGTTCTAAATGAAAGACAGATAGCAAAAATAAATGATATAAATCTACAATTTAATTCAATGCATTTCTTTTCATATTATCTTTTTGTACCACATACTATTAATTTAATGCATTACCGTGTTTTTTTTTCTGAAAACGAAAACAAAGTATACCTTGGCAGTATTGAAGCAATATAACAAAATAAAAGAACATACCAGAAGAAACAACTTCTGAAACACTGATCCCAAAATTCTTCGCCATAAATCCCAATATAGAAAATATGACTAACCCACCAAATATACTCGTTCCTGAACAAATAAGACATACCATAATGGAGTCTCTGAGAACAAAAAAAATTATATTAGTAATTTTAAACACTTGTTCTTGGTTGAACAGTAGTAGTAGGTTTTAAATCTAGCTCACAGTCACACATATATAGTTACACGTTATTTGTGTGGTTAAATATGATTACAAGTTCAACTTTCTACGGCATGTTTGAAATGATACCTGTAAGCATTGCTCTTGAATTTATTGTAGCTAGACAGAGTGATAAGAGCTCCCCATCCTGGTCCCAGAGAATAAAATATTTGTAGAGCTGCCTCGATCCATACCTGCATATAGAACATATTATGCTTTTAACATATTATGAAAAACTAATAATATCTATTTTAATACATTGAATAACTAGATAATAGTAATGATATTCATGATATTAGTTCAAACTGCCTTGTTAAATCATTAAATTAAATTTATACCAAACTGTTCGTGTGCTGCCAAGTTTAATTATAAATCTGTTTTTAAAGAATGGTTAATCTAATCTTATGTTTTGTCAAGAGAATTAAATGGTTCGTCCTAGATATATACTCTTCAAAAAAAGTAGGGGATATTGAAATGCAAACACCTATCCAGATTGTGATATGATAAAAAGTCATGGACACTTGACATGCTTTGAGGGTATGTTCACAGATGAAGAACTTATCGCCCCAACAGAACCACTGAGCTGCATGTGCGACACACAATAGTGCCATACACGTGGGAGGGGTTCATTGTCAAATTTGACACTTCAAGGAAGGGTTGATGAAAACTGCCGCGTGCTGGTTTATCTATCAATGTTTGCTTTCCTATCGGTTTTTGCATAAGATTTACTGTTTAGCGTATCTTTACTTTAGTGTATTACGTTTAATTTGATCGGGAGAGGTCTTCGTTGACGTCAACGTCAACCGACAACACTGCGAGAATTGGCCGTGGCACTGCAAGAGGAGTGGGTCAGATTGCCCCAAATCGTGATTGGACGGTTGATTAGGAGCATCCCACGACGAATTGCTGAATGTCTGAGGACTGGTGGAGCAATTACTTATTATTAAGTCCATTTTTACTTTTGACGGTCTCTTTGCGAGTGAAATGGGGCCGTCAGATAAGCCGCCCATATGAACGGTTTATGTTCATGTGTAGGCAATTGGCATGTTATTAACATACACTGGTTACCTCTAATAAAAAACAGCAGTGCATTTCCGCAGTTTTGTACTGTTTCTGAATATCTCCTACTTTTTTTGAAGAGTACATATCAATGAACAAAAATGGATCAATTGAAAGTGAATTTTACCAAAATGACAGCTTCGGTAATGTCACGTTATCCATAACTGTAAGTAACTAATTTCAAAATCTCAAACCAAACGGCTGTCTTACATTTTGGCGTTTAAATAGCATAAATATTCTCATTTACTTCATCGAACATCCTGTAAAATGGGTTAATGCACTCTATACCAGATGAAAATAAAGATTTTATACATTATTATATAGGACTTACTGAGGGCTCTTTCAACTTATAAAAATCTGGTTTAAGATAAAATATAATACCATCTACAGCACCAGGTAAAGTTACTCCACGAATAAATAGGACAACCAGTAAAATATATGGTAATGTGGCAGTTACATAAACAACCTGTTGAATAAAGCATTAAAATGATTATATTTTTATCGATACTATAAAATGTAATTTGTTCGTTGTCCTATATATCAAACGCCATCTTAGGTGTGTTACGTATAAGGCAAATGCAATGTGTTTGTTTATACATGACAAGTGGGGAATGCCAACCCGACTAAATGAATTAGTAAAATACAAGTATCTATGAAACTATTTTCAAACGACTTTAGCTGAAAAGTAAACAACAGTTCTATTATTTTCAACATTATTTAATATTTGAGTCTTAAAGTATCGGAAAGCTCAAAATTAATGAATACATATAACAATAAAATAACTAATTGGGATACCTTGCCAACGGAATGTACACCTTTAATAAGACACAAGCACACGATGATCCAGGCTACAAGTAAACAAACAACCAAATGCCATTCCATTTTCCCAATGTGCTCAATTCCGGGAGAAATTCTAAGCGCATTGTACCTGAAATATTTTCAAAAACTTTTGAACCACGTTTCTCTGTTGTATATCTCCATTGGGAATATGTATCCTATGTATCTAGTAACATTGTAGTATTACTGGACTTCTTTGTTGTGTTTTCTTGGTGATCGAAATTAGAACTACAAGTTAAGTCGTTTATACAGCTTTATTATTAAAGCCGCTTGGTACCAATGTTTCTGGTTCTCAATAAAGTGTATATAGCTTTTGATGGCTGCTCTGACAGACTGGGTGAGCGCTTATAAATTTCTCTCAACACCCTCTTCTATAACTCCCTAATTTCTTTATGTCGTAGACTGACCTTGGTGTTAATTTCCTTCCAAAATATGGAATAAACATATCCCCATACCCCGAAGACCGGAAGGAAAACAACCTTATTTGGTCTACCGAACACATTTATAAACAAGATAGTATTTGATGGATATTTTGACAATGGAAAGGACATAATCAGTGTTTTTATCAAATAATCACTGTTTGTATATATAAACCTGTCACTCATTTAATTTGAGTGCAATATATATGACTTTATACAATACGTGAATCCAATAATTAGTTAAAGGTACAATATGGTCGCAAAGACCATAGTATTACAACATTTGTTCTTTCCGAATTTTGTTCTGTTGTTTTCATCCATTATCTGTCTATTCTACTTTCAATTTTAACACACATACCTTAATTTAATACAAGTTTTTGAAATGTCGTTCCTTAGGTGACTATTAAATGGAATACATTGAAATGGGGTTTAACGTCCTACTATTTAGCACCAATTGGCTTACATCAAAACCTGTGCTATGAAGTACATTTTTCCCGGGACAGCGGCACTATTCTCATATGGAATTCCAATTATGGATGGTTATTATATCTACACGCCAATATGTACACGAGACCTCGTATTTCGTCTCATCCGAACGACTAGACACTGTCCTTGTCAGCCCCTTCGTGCTTTACCATTAACAAGGGGAACCACGATAGAAAATCTCAAGAAACTTTATCGGCCAACACTGGGCGTGAAGTCCGGTTCTCCTGGTTAGTGAGCCAGCGCCCTACTCACTAAGCCGCCGCGGCTTCAAGCTGACTAATAAGATAACAGATTAAAGATAGCGTTACACACTAAATGTCATTGTAATAAACTTATTATACATACTGCCAAAACTCCTCTCCTGCTGTATGGGCCATTGAAAGATTTGACCAAATCTGGTGTTCACTATTCTCTGCTTCATTGTTAATATATGTGGTGTTCACCATTGTCAGGTTGAACATGACTGATGTATTGTTACTATTAGTCGAGGAAAGGCTTGTACAATATTCAGTATTCCACCACTCACCACATAATGTCCAGGGCAATGTTGATGAAAATGATTTAAATGTATAATACAGGGTCCAGTTGATTATCATAATATATGAAGTGCAACTTAGTGTACATGCTACCGTCATACCATAGCCAACACCTAAAAATCATACACGCCAAAAATAAATAAATATCCGTTATGGTTTAATCTGTAGAAAATGTAGAGACAGGGAAAGAAATATTACCACACCATAATTCTATTATAAGTAACATTATCACTTTCTGTTAGAAAAGAAAAGTATTTTAAGAAAACATTAGACTCACCTACATATTGAAAGAGTAAGGCGTGTTACCCGATTCTTCATTAAACTTCTTGAAAATCACTAAAGAAGTGTGTAAGAGTCGTAAATTATAATGTAAACGATGAATGACCGATTTGACTTAGATAAAATCTATTATGAACACCGATGTGAATGCACAGCCAAATTACATCAATTTCAAGGATCTCCTAAATGCTAATATTTGTGCAAATTTTACGTTTAACGTGATTCTTCGTTAAACTTTTTGTTTTGAAAGTAAGAGTCCTAAAAATCATTAATCATTAAAGACGCATTTAGCTAAATCAGCCTATTTCAGTTTCTGGCTTCAAATCTTATATAAATTATTTAGACATTTATTCACATGGAAAGCCGATCATTAACTCTCTAGGTCATAGGATGGCTGAGATTTTTTAATGGATTAGATCACCCGCGTCATATATCTCATTAAGAAGACTGACAATCGAAACTCCCTTCATTACCATTGTCAATTAAATCATCAATCAAAACAAAGTAATTTGATGGACAATTTCAATATATTCATTTTTCATTGTCTATTTTTGAACTATTATAGCAAGAACGGCCAGCTCTTATCTGAATCTTTAATTTGTCAATTTCATTATCAAATAACTTATCTGTTTGGTTCCCTGAAGCGAACATACAAGCAAAGAAATACAAAGCAAAAACAGCTGCTTTTTATTACTGAGCGACGTTTCGACCTTGGATTCCCTATTTCTTATCAGCAAAAGATGCAATAATGTTTTGCCAATGGGTGCTCTTCGGAGCCATAAATACTTCTACTGAACGACATATTTGATAAAATAGCAAACTGAAAAATAAACCCAACATAATTGTCAAGTGTTGTTGTCACAACTGACAAAATAATTATTACTGTAAATTCATAAAAGTTAACATTAGATGTTAGTTATAGACCAATGACGGCATAAATCATTTCTGAGGGTGTCAGGCATTCTACCATAAGCATCTTTTGAAGTTCAACAAATGGGATAAGATCAAATCTTCTCGGGGAACTAACCATATATCTTATAATAGAGAAGTAACAGTTGATTAAGGACTGGCACCAGGTTTTATTGGTGCCTTTTTGTGTGTGACGGTGATGAGAGTCAAGTAGAATGTTTTAATTGGCCTTGGTTGACAAGAAAAGATAACAGTACCTTTCAATAGGGGACAAATTCCCCAACACTCGATGACGCCTTGGCCTGAAAATTGTCCCATACATACTTCAAGGAAATAGAGCGGTACGCCACAAAGGAACAAAAACGTGAGATATGGAATCAAAAAAGCACCTGAAATATAAAACTGACACATCAATATACTTGAATAAATTGTGATAATGCACCTGAAATATAAAATTGACACATCAATAGATATATTTGAACAAATCTGAATAGTACACGTATTTGTCTGTTATTAAGACTAGAATAAGTTCAATGAATCCCACTGGTATCATTGTGCCTTGTTAATATAGGCCGGAGGCTCAGCGCGGGGGGGGGGGGGCATCAAATGGGCACAAAACCCGACCCAACTTTTCTAGAGTAAAATTTTGCGTAGAATACGATGCCGAGTGGTAATCAGTCCGCCGTTGGGGCGTTTTCGAGATATTCGGGGTCAAAGGTCAAATGAGTTCATTTGCACTGAAAGTGAATGCGCAGTCATTCTTGTATTATGAAAAGAAGGTGAAAATGATCGAAAGTAATCACACTTTCAATAAAAATGTAAACTTGCTAAATTCACCTTTAGTCTTAGTGAACCTGGAGGTCAAAAGGTGAAATTTACCGTTTTTGCACTAGGAAGATTTAAAGGAATAAAATGGCAACGTAAAATATAAAAATTAAAGCGAAACCTGTTCTTATTAATAATAGGAACATTTCAAATTTATCTTTAGGTGGTCTTAGCACCGAACTTTTACTTTGGAACGTCGAAAATGATCTTGCATAACAGAACCAACACATTTTGAAACCTGTTTCAAAAATACGCAAAAACTGTCAAATCGAAATCTCTCCGATTTATTTTCACAACGATGGTTATACATAATGATACTACTTATCTGAAAAACAATTGAATAGTTTCAGTGTTGGACTCCAGCCCGCAGGCCGCGTGGATTTCCGAGAATCCCAGTTTAGGAAAACCGACGTTAATCTGTGACGGGAAAACACGCATCTGGCGACGAGATTAAAAGTTTGCAAATTTTTTATGAGTTTTTATGAATTTCACCGGAACATGGACGCAGATAAAACCGACGAATGCATTGTACATAGTAGTTCACAGGATATATATGTCGTATTGGTAAATGTTAGCGGGGAAAATTTGGGCAGGCTTTGTGACGCGGCCTGCAGGCTGGAGTCCAGCCATGGAACTATTTAATTGTTTTTTTTTCAGACAACTAGTATCATTATGTATAGCATTGTAAAACTAATTCAGAGAGATTTTGAAACAGGCTCCAAAGCGTTTTGGTTCTGTTATGCAAGATCATTTTCGACGTTCCAAAGTAAAAGTTTGGTGCTAAGACCACCTAAAGATAAATTTTAAATGTTCCTATTATTAATTAGAACAGGTTTCGCTTTAGTTTTATATTTTACGCCGACATTTATTACTTTAAATCGTCCTAGTGCTAAAACGGAAAATGTGACCTTTTGACCTCTGGGGTCACAAAAAACAAAGGTGAATTTAGCAAGTTTACATTTTAATTGAAAGTGTGATTACTTTCGATCATTTTCAGCTTATTTTCATGATGCAAGAATGACCGCACATTCAATTTCAGTGCAAATGAACCCATTTGACCTTTGACCCCGAATATCTCGAAAACGCCCAAACGGCGGATTGGGCCCTTATTCACGGAAACTTAAACTAAGATACAATCGAAATTCTAAGAAATACTGCAATTCGATTGGCTGACCAATATGCAAATTGGATATATGCAAATTGATTTTACTGGTCAGCCAATCGAATTGCAGTATTTCTTAAAATTTCGATTGTATCTTAGTTTAAGTTTTCGTGAATAAGGGCCCTGATTACCACTCGGCATCGTATTCTACGCAAAATTTTACTCTAGAAAAGTTGAGTCTGGTTTTGTGCCCATTTGATGGACACTACCCCCCCCCCCCCCCGCGCTGAGCCTCCAGACTAATACGAATGTAAACGAATATTGGTAGCCAACCAATTTACGAAATGGATTATTCAAACGCTTTATTTGGGGGTTTGGAGGAGGATATATTAAGCTAGTAGTGGCTATAAACATTGGAAAAATGAAGTCAGTGAATGAAATCAAAAATAAAGAGGTCAGTGAATGAAGTCAAAAATGCAAAGGTCAGTGTGGTCAAAGGGGAGTCAAGTTGAGAAATGTTACAGAAATAAACTGGACGAAACGGGGTGTATTGATATTAACTTGGGAGACTTGAATACTCTCTGTTTGGATTGGTTGTTTTGTGTGCATGCTTTTGTAATTTTGTTGAACCAATGTCCATCCCAGTCTCAGTATCGCATCGAATGCTTTGTTCATCACAGCACAAGCCATGCTGGTGAGCTAATAGATACTTTATGGGCTCAACCTTTGCATCATCGCCATAAACTTAAAAGGCGTGTAGATCGATTCCCTGAAACCATAAAACAAACGAAAAAAATTGGTCTAAAAGCACATATTAAAAGCACATTCCCAAACTTGTTTTGTAATTTCTATGTATTATTCTTGCTTAGACGATTCTACAGGTTTTGTTTTTTTAATTGTTATTCTGTCACTTGTGAATCAGTCATTTGTAAATACTTCTGAATTGTCTTATGTGGTGTTTTTCTTTATTACTTACAAATGGTGCTCGTAACATTATGTCTACAGAAGATGTGACCTCGTGTACTGATTTTAACATGTTCATTTAGTCTTAAATATTGGATATGAGGATCCCATATTTTCACGATAAAAACACCATTATTGAATGAAGTGGACCCATGTTGAATATTAATTCGTATTGCGTTAGAGGTTTAGCTCCTTTAATGGGGTCAATGCGATCAACGGAGAATTTTTTACTTTATAACTGATCGTCTGGTATAAGGTTCGGTTCCGGTATCCGGAAAGGTTTTGAAAATGTATTAAACTCTTGCCCCTGCCAATTGCAAAAACGTCTAACGTTACTTTATACATGTTTCAATTTCTTCGATATTTGTAACAGGGTACTTGACGTCAGATGGCCTTTCTAAAGATAAAAATCGTCTCTGCTATCTCAGCTGTCACGGAACTGTTAACTCGCTCACAGGAAAAAAAAAGAGGCGCCTACATTTACAAAATCGGATAAAAATTGTGAGCTCTAGAGGGGCTACAACCTTGGTATTACAGCTTATTACACTATTTGCGTAAAGTGGAGTGGCCATTTTGTTAGAATGTCTCCGTCGATTTTCATGAAATTCGAACTGAAAGTTTTTTTTTAAATCAAATAAAAATTGTGACCTCTAGAGGTTCAACTAACTGAAAACGTGATATTACATACAATCAGGGGCCATAATCCAGGAAGTTGCGGTCTAAGATGTATATCAATATCGGTGAGATCTGTCGGTTATAAACATACATTTAAGCTTCATGAAAATCGGATAAAAATTGTGACTTCTAGAGTGTCCACAAACTAAAAACATGAGTTTTCGTACAATCAGCGGCCATAATTCGTGAAGTTATGGTCCGATACATGCAAGTATAAAAATAAGATAAGATTTTGTTGTATCGGAACGTCCATTGAGGACAGAGATAGAGATGGAGAGAGAGAGAGAGAGAGAGAGAGAGAGGGGGAGAGAAATGGGGTTTAACGTCCACTCGACACAAACTAGGTCATTTCGGGACTAACATATGGTTTAATTTTATTTCAATAATTCGCTTGCGCGTAGGGGTCTTTAGCAGTGGGAGGAAACCGGAGAAAACACACGAGGATGGACAGGCGACCCTACTCCTTGTCACGTACAACCGGGGATTCGAAACCACGCCAGTTGACTTAATGGCAGGCCTTATGATACAGCGCGCAGCGCGCACGTGCTAACCATTCGGCCATCCACCCCCCCTCCATTGAGGACAGCATACAATATAAACATATGTACATAAATAACAATGTGATAACTGATATTTTCTGTTGCGAAAAGAGACGTTTATTCTCCATATTTGACAAAAAACAAAACAACAAAAAAAAGTAAGATCTGATAAAATGATGAATTATTGATGAAAAAGTTGATTGTTTGGAGATTTGATCAAACGATCACGCCACGACAGTACGTAGTACTAGTACGGTTGTATGAAGAAGAATTTTATTGCACCGGAACGTCCCTTAAGTACAGAAGGTTAGACTGGCAAAAATTCAGAACACTCATATAGACAGTATAAAACCTGCATACATGATATATATATGTGAAAATACGAAATAAAACGTACAAAGTATACAGTATAAAACCCACATACAGGGTACATAATATACGGAAATACAAAACAAAACGTGTAAAATATAATAAAATATCATGCATATTTAACAGTTCAATTGTCTCGCCGTAAAAAAGAGAAGTAGACAAAGGCTGGAACACTTGTGGTTATAATACTCGGTGGATTTTCAAATGAAAGGGTTAGATCAGTATTGTCAAGGGTTGGATATATATATTGTTTTCTTAAATCTTCATATTTTTGGCATTCCATAAGAAAATGTTGTTCAGATTCAGTTTTGTTTGCATTGCATTTTTTACAGAGGCGATCCTGGGGTGGTATCTTAAGATATCTACCCCTTTCAATGGCAAGCTGATGCGTACTTAATCGTAGGGTAGACATCGTAATTTTGAACTTCTTATTATTAACAACCTCTGGATATTTTGGAGTGTTATTGAATTTCTTTTTGAATAATCTGAAGGTTCTGAGTTTATAGTTAGGTCCACAATATTCAGCAAGGAGATCGTTAAACTTACTTTCTATTGAACTTTTAATATTCTGTCTCGAAATTGTTATTGGAGAAATGTTATATTATTCTAAGATATTTTAGATAGCCGCATATTATACCAGGAGAGTTTTTGGTTTGATTGCGAGATTTTTATGTCTTCTTGGTATGAAGAATTCAATAATGAATTACTTAAGTTATTGCTATTTGCATTTAGCCTTTTATAGTACATAATCATTCTTTGAAATATATCGAAATATAGGAAACATTCCTAATTCGGCCAAGCAGCCTATATTCGATGCTTTTAATGGTTGTGTAAGGATAGATTTACATATTTTAACGGTCATTTTATTCGTATTTATTTTATCCCAATTTGCTATCTCAAAGTTCTTATTATACTT